ATATTGTCTAAAATGTTTCTGTTCCAGATGGTAGGAACTGTTCCCTAGGGTACTGAATCATATATTTAAACCGCCTTTTAAAAAGATCAACATTCTCACTTTGAATAGACATGGTTTGTTTTGAGAATCCACAATTAGGCTAGAGAGTCCATCTCTTAATTAAACCTATGCATATTTTCTCTCTGTGGTTTATTATTATTATTATGAAAACTTTTTTCATATACTAAAGGGATTTTTCTTTTTTTGAATAAAAATTGTAACTTTAGTATACATACCAATTCTTCCTTTTCTGTTTCTTCGAATAGAAGTGATAATTTTAGTGGATTTTGCCGATTTTTCCTTTTCTGTTTCTTCAGGCTCTGTGTTTATGTCGTGGTCTGCCTCTGTATGATGTTAACAGACAGGAAGGATAAACAGTGAAGAACTTCAGAAGAAACAGCTGTGAGCTTAATAAGGAAGGCAAACTATATTAGTTCCAAGTTCAGACATTGAAGTTACCCTTCTTAAAATTTAGACCTAAAATCTTTGGCATCTCACTCTCTCTTGGCACTGATGTGCTAGAACTATAAGATGCAAAAAGTCATTCTTATTCATCCTGCAGTCTTTGAATAATCTTTGAATGCTGTATTTTTAAGCCCTGGGCTAAACTGCTGCACTACAAAAATAATGTGAACCTGACTTACTCTTCCAAATGTGACCACCTGTCCAACAGTAGTTTTCATCAACAGATTGATAATGTTGGGAATTCATTTGATATGTTTCTATTGAGGTTTTCTTCAGAGTTATCTGGAGGTAGCACGTCACTTTTTCCACCTACAAATTGTTAACCTGTCAAAATTCTAATCCCTACAGATTTTTTAAATTTGTATTCCCTTCAACTGGTTTACACAGGGGAGCAATGGCTTTAAATTGACACTACCTTTCTGTAGAACAGTGTGGTCAGAGTAGCCAGTCAGGAGGCTTTGTGGAAATTCAAGAAAAAGATGGCACAGGCAGTGGGGATAAGGAGAAGTAAATGAGTTTGAGTTATTTTTCAGGTTGAATGAATGAATGTATGATCAAATTTCTCGTGTTAGTACTTATACTGACTAAGAAACTCTCCAGCCCTACAAAGGTCTAGAGCAGGACTGGGGAACCTTTTTTCTGCCAAAATTTATAACATCATTTGCAGGCCATACAAAAATAAAATCTTAAAATTTAGGCTGTTATATTTGGTCAAGCATTTAATTAGGTCACCCCTAATGTGGAGTCCTGGTGCGGTACTGTGGGTTATTGCGCTGGACTGCAAAGTCTGTTTGATCTGCAAGGTCAGAGGTTCAAATTCACTAGTCGCTCCTCGGAAACCCTATACAGGGTCTCTATGGATCAGAACTGACTCGACAGCTCTTTAAAAAAAAGAAAAAAATGTGATAAGCAAGGAGCTCTGATAGCATAGTTGTTATGAGTTTAGCTGCTAATCTCACAGTCAGGAGTTTGCAACTGCCAGCAGTTCCGCAGGAGAAAGATGAGGTTTTCTGCTCCCTTTAAGATTTACAGCCTCAGAAAGCCTCTACAGGGTCGCTGTGAGTCAGAACTGACTCCATGGAACACCACCACAGTGATAAGCACTGGATTGCAAACCACAAGCTTGGCATTTCAAACCCACCAGCTGCTCCGTCGCTGACTGCACGGCACTTAACAACAATGTGGTGGCTTAGAACTGCGGTTGCCTTAGCAGGGCCAGACCAAATGATTTCTCAGGCCTTATATGGCCCTCAGGCCAGACAGACATTCCCCATCCCTGGTCTAGAGTGCCCTCCTCTTGATCATCTTAACCTTTCTCTGTTGTTGTTGTTAAGTGCATTTGAATTGGTTCTGATTCATAGCAACTCTGCATAAGGTTTCCAAGGAGCAGCTGGTGAGTTTGAACTGCTTACCTTTGTGGTTCACAGTCCATTTCTGATCCTACTGCACCACACTGTTCTGAGAATTTCAGTTAAACCCAGTGATAAATACATGAAACTAATTTTGAACAGGAAGAATTAAGGGACAACTGGTTATGTGGCTTGTTCATAATCCAACTTTAATTTCCTAGGAATTTTTCAGAAAGTCAAGTTTTGGTGTTTCCCTCTGAATAGAAACAGAACTCTGAAGTCCCATGTCAAATGAAACACATCATGCCCAGTTTTCCTAGTGGAGTCTTCAAGTGTGATTGCTTCTCATGCTCTCTTGTGCTCCAAAATCAATAATACAACACACAGGTTTAAACATTCATGTCTCAAGTTTCAGCCTTGACCACTGGTCAACCTTAAAGGCAGGTTCCAAGAGACCCATTGACCAGGTGTTTCAATTTGCTCGTGTCTTGAATTCATATATTAAAGTTGGCTTTTTAGCACCCATGGAACACCCTGATGGCTTCCTCTTTTAATCTGCACTGCCCTTGAGCACTGTATTGCACCATTTCTTATTTTGCAACACTCAACTTGTTTCAGACTCTTGAAACAGTGATAAAGCATTGATTTGCCTACTAACACAGTCCTGTAAAAACAAAATTACTCTGAGCCATTAAAGTACCCATTGTCTGAGGAATTTGGTCAAAGGAGCACTAGACTAGGTCTACCAGGAGCCTTCAGTTTCTTCCTGTGCACAGTAGGAGGTGTCCTTGATCAAAGTTTCCTGACCTTATCAAGCATTACATAACCCACTAAGGAAAACAAAAAGCTCAATAAAGGGATTCTGGAACCCACTCCAAAGGTGCTAATTCAGACTCTGCAAGGGAGAGGGGAGGAATGTGGTGGTGTTTAAAATAAATAAATAAAGCCAAATCTCCCAGGGACTCCTGATACTAGGTAGCCAAGCTTGAGTACTTCTAAGCTAGATCTGTCAGATGTGCTGTTTAAGAGCTCTGAGCAGCTGTTAGATTGCTGAATAGGACCAGCCATATCAGCTTGTTCTGGGGAATCAGTGAGAATGTGTGTGGAGGGCCTAGTGCAGTGCCTGGCATGAAACAAGTGTTCAACACATAGGGACTGCTGCTGCCTTTGATGTGTTAGTCCCTCATCCTGGACCTGCGGAAGCAATGGGATAGTAAGACGAACCTTCTGCCCTTACTGTAATACAGTATCAGGCAGCTTTAACTGCTATGAAAATTTAGATTTTTCAAAAAGTTAAAGAGAATTAAGGTGATGGTGGTTGTTATTGTTGTTAAGTGCCATCAAGTCGGTTCCAACCCATAGCGACCCTGAACAGGGTTTCCAAGGCTATAAATCTTTACAGGAGCAGAAAGCCTCATCTTTCTCCCACAGAGCACCTGGTAGTTTTGAACTGCTGACCTTATGGTTCACAGCCCAATTCGTAACCACTAGGTTACCAGAGCTCCTTAAGGTGGTGGTGTTGCTGTTGTTATGTGCCATGGAGTCAGTTCCGACTCATAGCAACCCTGAACAGGGTTTCCAAGGCTGCAATTCTTTACTGGAGCAGAAAGCCCCATCTTTCTCTCTTGGAACCGCTGGTAGTTTCGAACTGCTGACCTTGCGGTTCGCAGCCCGATTCGTAACCACTATGCTATCAGAGCTCCTTCCTTAAAGTGGTAGGTATTGGGAATATTTTAGATAGGGTAGCTGATAAATGCGTCTTTGAGATCAGGTGACATTTGAACTGTAGGAAGTATAGAAGTCATGTAAAGACTTGTGGGAAAGCATTCCAGGCAAAGGTCGTTGGAAATACAGAAGTCCTGAGGAGGAAACACTGGCTTACAAAAGTGCCAGACTAAGCTATAGGGGAAGTGATGGGAGTTGAGATTAGAGATCGCTGGGTTCAGCTCATAGGAATCTTGGAGGCAACAAGTGCCTAAATTTGGCATTCTTCCCTTTCCTATTTTCCTTCATTTTGTTTCTTTACATTACCTTCAGGTTGATACAGAGGAAGTTCAAGCATATTTAAGATCCTTTTTGCAAAAATATGCGACACCAACCATTTCTTCCATAACACTACTCAGGTTTCATAATTCATTGCAATGGCCACACAGAACTCAGACAGCAGATTCACAGGGAGTTTATTAGGGCAGTTAACAGGTTACATCTCAGGGTCAGAAATGCTCAGGGCACAGTTGTTCCAGTCAGGACAGCTTCTCCTCAGCTGTGCCCACAGGCAGGCCACTCTCTCCAGCAGTGTTAACAAGGCTCTTTTAGAACTTCTAATAAATGCCCACGGAGTCCTGGTATGGCGCTGTGGGTTAATGCGCCAGACTGCAAAGCCGTTTGAACTGCAAGGTCAGCTGATCAAGCTCACCAGCTGTTCCTCGGAAACCCTATATAGGGTCACTATGGGTCAGAACCGATTCAACGGCACTTCACAACAACAATAAATGCCCACAGGATGCACCACTCCAGTATTACTCAGCCTGAAGGCGCACTCAACTCTTAACTTCTTGGGTCAGCAAACCCAGCGCCCTCTCCCCATCTGCCCACCCTCTCCCAACAACTAAGTGCCTGAAGCTTCCCTGCTCTGCTAGCAAGCCTCCTGCCAAAGTCACTCAGATTGACTTGTTCAGTGGGCTGGGAAGCCCACTGCTGTGTCTCATGCTCTAGTTCTTGGTTCTATTACTACTGCTTCTCCACCACTCCTCCGGTGTCACAGCTTTCTGTCCCTGGGGCTTGGGGTCCAAAGGACACACTCCATGCCTGCCTCTTCTTTAGTAAGATTCCACCCTTCCTGCTTCTGAGATGGGTCATTTAATATCCATGCTAGAGTTGCAAGTTTTTACAATTAACTTTTACTGACATCCACGGCTGAGTCATGTCATCCTATTGGTAGGGCAGAAACTTGTTTGGTGGGAGTGCAGACTATGGCTAGGAAAAACATTAGATAATTCACAACACCTCATTTTTCAGTTCTGAGAATCTTTTACTTTATAATTAGAATATTTTGTTTTTCAAGCCTAGTAAGTGTAACAGTAGTTACAAAATCACTTCCTAAAGTCAAAATTGATGCTGATCAGATTTTTATCTTTTTCCTTCCAGCTTGATATATGGTCAAAATCCAACTATCAAGTGTTTCAAAAGGTAAGCTTTACTTTTTGCTTCTTTCTTAATAGGCATTAAGAAAATTTGAATGCTTTGTGGTAAAACTTTGGTCTCAAACCTGAGGCTTTTTTTAAAGTGAGAAAAAAAAAAGCCTGACACAAGCCTCACTATATGATTCCATTTTTATAGCATTTTTGAAAAACACAAAACCATGGGGACAGAAATCAAATCAATGGTTGCCAAGAGTTGCAAGTTAGGGTAGAGATGATAGAAATAGTCTATATCTTCACTGTTGTGGAAACTACATTTTAACATTGATTAAAATTCATGGAACTATATAATCCTGATGTGGCGCTGTGGGTTAATGTGCTGGACTGCAAAGTCTGTTTGAACTGCAAGATTGGCAGTTCAAGCTCACCAGCTGCTCCTTGGAAACCCTATACAGGGTCACTATGGGTTGGAACTGACTCTACAACACTTAACAACGACAACATAGTCCTGGTGTGGTGCTGTGGCTTAATGCTCGGAACTGCATGGTCAGTTTGAACTGCAAGGTCAGCAGTTCAAGCTCACCAGCTGTTCTTCGGAAACCCTATATAGAGTCTCTGTGAGTCAGAACCAACTTGATAGCACTTAACAACAACAACATATACCTATAATGAGTGAATTGTGTTATTGTTAGGTGCCATCTAGTCAGTACCAACTCATAGCAACCCTATGCACAAGATAATGAAACACTGCCTGGTCCTGGGTAACCTCACAATTGTTGCCATGCTTGAGTCCATCGATGTTGCCACTTGGCCAGTCCATCTTGCTGGGGATCTTCCTCTTTTTCTCTGACCCTCCACCTTACGAAACATGATATCCTTCTTTAGTGACTGGTCCCTCCTGACAATATGTCCGAATTATGAGAGATGAAATTTGGCCATCCTGGCCTCCAAGGAGCACTCTGGCTATACTTCTTCCAACACATATGTTTGCTCTATTGGCAGCCCATGATACTTTTAATGTTCTCCTCTAACACCATAACTCAAATGCATCAATTCTTCTACGAACTTCCTTATTCACTGTCCAACTTTCACATGCATATAAGGTTATTGAAAATACCATGGCTTGGGTCAGGTGCATCTTAGTCCTCAAGCTGACATCTTTGCTCTTCAACACTTTAAAAAAGGTCTTGTGCAGCAGATTTGCCTAATGCAATATGTTGTTTGATTTCTTGACTGCTGCTTCCATGAGTAGTTGAGCCAAGAAAAATGAAGTCTTTGACAACTTCAATCTTTTCTCTATTGATAAGAATGTTGTTTTTTGGTTCAGTGGTGAGGATTTTTGTTTTCTTGACATTGAGATGCTGTCCATATTGAAGGCTGTGGTCTTTGATCATCATCAGTAAGTATTTTAAGTCCTCTTCACTTTCAGCAAGCAAGGTTGTATCATCTGCATATTGCAGGTTGTTAATGAGTCTTCCTCCAATTCTGATGCCACGTTTTTCTTCATATAACCCAGATTCTCAGATTATTTGCTCAGCATACAGTTTGAATAAGTATGGTGAACGAATACAATCCTGTCGCACACCTTTCCTAATTTTAAACCATTCAGTGTTCCCTTGTTCCCTTTGAACAACTGCCTCTTGGTCTTTGTACAGGTTCCTCATAAGCACAATTAAGTGTTCCGGAATACTCATATTTTGCAGTGTTATCCATAGCTTGTCATGATCCACACAATCGATAAGTAAAATAAAGCACAAGTAAACATCTTTCTGAGTATTCTCTGCTTTCAGCCAAGATCCATCTGATGTCAGCAATGATATCCCTCATTCCATGTCCTCTTCTGAATCTGGCTTGAAACTCTTGAAGCTCTCTGTCAATGTATGCTTGCAGCCATTTCTGTATTACCTTTAGTAAAACTTTACTCTCATGGGATACCAAAGATAATGTCCGATGATTTCTGCATTCCATTGGGTCACCTCTTTTTAGAATGAGTACACACCAGTTGGCCAGATAGTTGTCTTCCAGATTTCTTGGCCTAGATGAGTGAGTGTCTGCAGTTCCACTTCAGTGTGTTGAAAGATTTTAATTTGTATTCCATCAATTCTCAGTGCCTTATTCTTTTCCAATTCCTCAAAGCACCTTGGACTTCTTCCTTCAATATTATTGGGTGAATTTTACTGCATATAAATTATACCTCAATAAACCTGACTTTTTTGAAAAATCAGAAACTGTTCTATTGCTCGAAACACAATCCACACAAGTTTTAAACTGTTTCTTGAGTGCCTTTGAGTTGTGGTGTTGGAGGAGAATACTGAAAGTGCCATGGACTGCCAAAAGAACCAATAGATCTGTTTTGGAAGAAGTGCAGCCAGAGTGCTCCTTGGAGGCCAAGATGGCTAAACTTCGTCTCTCATACTTTGGACATGTTGTCAGGAGGGAACAGTTGCTGGAGAAGGATGTCATGCTGGGTAAGGTGGAGGGTCAGAGAAAAAGGGGAAAACCCCTAATGAGATGGATCAGCCAGGTGGCATCATTGATGGACTCAAGTGTGGTGGCAGTAGTGAGGTTGGCCCAGGATGGGACATTGTTTCGTTCTGCTGTGCATGGGGTCGCTATGAGTCGGTTCCGACTCGATGGCACCTGACAACAACAACAACAACTTGAGTGATCTACACAGGAGCTTTCAGGGTGGCTCTGACCTCACGCTACCCAACCTACACCCAACACTCCCACTTTCACAAGAATCATGCTAGTGGTATTGTGTGTGTCACATAGTGAGCCTCCTCATAAAATTCTACTTGGGAAATGTTAGAAAAAGTGAAATGTGACTAGAGGAAATCCATTTCCCATCACTCCTGATGGTGGGAGGGTCTGTCTCACTGGACTAGTTCAGGCTCTGTGGCTTTATGAAAGGTTTCCACTACTCCAACAGCACTCAGGCTGCAGCTGGTTTTCACTCCTGTCCATTCCGTTTTCATCCAGTATTACACATAATAGGGAGTCGGTTGCAATTTTATATTTGTTCCCTCTCTCAGTTCAACAACAATTATTTATTAAGCCCCTTTGCCATGTGCTAGGTACTAGGTATGCAGTGGAAAATAAAATTGACAGGAAATGTAATAAATACGAAGAGGCTTCAATTTTTCATGGAAAAAATTGGAATTAAAAGAATTTTCCACAAACTTATTAAAGCCCCCTAGTAAGTAAATGGAGTCCTAGTGTGCCGCTGTGGGCTAATGCTTCAGACGCAAAGTCTTTTGAACTGCAAGATCGGTGGTTCAAGCTCACCAGCTTCTCCTTGGAAATGCTATAAGGATCACTATGGGTCAGAATCGATTTGACGGCACCTAACAACAACAATTAAGTAAATACCTCTAACTCCAGGTTGTTGTGACTAAGAGTGACAGAAGGGGGTTTCTTCCAATTAGGTAGTTAGAGGAGACCTTTATGAGGTGAAGTTTATATGGAGGCAAAGTATGGAGGAACCAGTCATGTAGAAACCACCGAAAGAAACAACAGCCTTTGTATTGAGGAAGGGCTGGGCAGTTCTAAGATCTGATGGACGCAGACATGCCTGCAGTATGGTGGCTGAGGAAGTATTACAGATGAGAGGTGGGAGGCAGAGGCCAGGTCAGGTTGGTTCCTCTAGGCCCTGGCACAGAATTTGGGTTTTATGCTTAGCTCAGTCAGCAGTCATGGAAGGGGCTAAATGATTTTGAAAGATGGTGGTGGTTGGTTGTGTACCATGGAGTTGGTTCTAACTCATGGCGACCCTGCATGGGGTTTCCAAGGCTGTAAGTTTTTATGGGAGCAGAAAGCCTCATCTTTATCCCATGGAATGGAGGATATTTTCAGACTGCTGACCTTGAGGTTAGCAGCCCGACTCATAACCACTACGCTACCAGTTTTGCCAAGCAGCTTAGTATAGCTTAGCATTTGTTCCTGGGTTTTGTTTATTTTTTAGGTAAAATTCACATAACATAAAATTTACCACTTTAAAATGAACAATTAATTGATATTTAGTACATTCACAATGTTGTGTGGTTAAGTCGTAAAATATTTTCATCCTGAAAGGAAGTGCCATATCAGTTACACACACAGTGAACTTTGATATCAAAGGGCATACTGGACTGGCCTCTATTGGTGCTTCATCTCCATCAACTTACATTCTTCCTGGACCCTACCTAAGGTAAACAGAAGACATGCCTGAGACTAGGGGATTGATCTGAGGCTCAAAATCACAAATTTAGGGAGCCTGATTGTGACACTGAAAGTCAGAAGTTCAAAACCACCAGCTGCTCCTTTAAAACCTTGTGCAGGGAGACACCAGAGATGGAGGCAGAGATGAGGACTCTTGACTCATGGAAAGAGAAAGACTGTGTGCTGGTGGCCAGAAGGCAGGCTTGCAAAATGTGCCCTTTGGTTGTTTAAATGATTATATATTCCTGAGTGTTTTTGTGTACATTGCCCCCTTAGCTCCCCCCAAAAAATATAGAGGGAATAGAAGCAAATACTGTTGAATGATGATGCACAGAGGAAATAGTAATCGTTGCAATTAAATGATGGTATAAAACCGATGTTCTCCCATGTAAACTATCACTCAATTCACAGTAAAAACTTAAAAAATAAAAGCCCTATGCAGGGTCCCTATGAGTCAGAACTGAGTTAACGGCACTTAACAACAAAAACAAAATAAGCACTAAAGAAATCCTGGTGGCTTTGTAAGGTATGCATAGAACTGCTCACCTCAAAATCAGCAGTTCAAACCCACCAGCCACTTCACAGGAGAAAGAAGAGGCTTTCTGCTCCCATAAAGATTTACAGCCTCAGAAACCCTATACAGGGCTTCTTGCAGAGCCCTTATGGTGTATAGGACCTTAGGTGGAATCCTGAGCCCCATCCACAACCTTCTGAGGTGGGACATTCCCATTTGAAAGGACATGCAGTCCAACTCACAGCAGCTAGAGGAACAGAAGATACTTCCTGAAAGGAAGACCAGCATGAAGAAAACAATAAAAAACGACAGTCTGTTTGGCTAATACAAGAAAA